TAATTCCTAGCAAGATTTGTATTTTACGTTCAAAAGTGGAAAACGTAATTTCTGAACTTCAAAAAAGATTTTAGTCAACCACTTTGAATCTGACTGTAAAGTTTCACGAGTTTAATTAAGTTCTGTGGAAATTCTCTAAAAAAACTTAAACCTCTTTGAACTCATCAATAGAAACACTCGATTGCCTATCTTTGAAAGTGTACATAAATGTATACATAGGTCTGATCACTGTATCTCCTCTAAGGGGAAATAAAGTACACAGATCCTTTACAGCACTGAGATATTATATTTGAAAGCTATATATAGACTTTCTTCTATAGGTGGTATTAATAGTTGTGTTAGTATTATTCAGATGTCTAAATTTCCAAAAGAATCAAAGGTCTGATCAATAAGTAACCAATTACTGAGCACTTACTATGTGCCAGGCACTATGCTAGGCAATTTACATACATTATCACACTTAATCATCAGTATTCTCATCCCAATTTCACCTAAGTGGAAATTGAGGTTTATGAAAGGTGTCTGGGGAACTCTAGCATTGTCTCTAAGGATAGAGGGGTTAAGAAATTTATTCAGATTCACACAGCTAGCGGGTGGCAAAACCAAGATCTGAACCCAGATCTAATTCCAAACCTTGCTCTTTCTATGACACTGGTGCCTCTCAAACAAAAGAGAGGGAGAAAATACATGTGTAGTTAGGAAAAGCACATTTGATATTATAATTGTATATCTCAAATATGAAAAATAGTAAAAAAAAAGTGAAGCCTACTATTTTCACGATACTAACTATAGAAATAAGAGCCCAACAAAATCTCCTTAGCTATCACAGATACACAATGGACTCTAACTGAATATTCCTCTGGGCAAAACAATGGTGTGGGGAATGGAGGGCACTATATTAACTATCTTTGCTTATGGAGAAGAGGTTGGGCTACAAAAATAGTGACTTAGTATACTATACTCTCTCATCATTTGGCAAGCATGTCTTAACAAACTCATTCTTCATAAGAATTATATATTGTATCAAAAAGAAAAAAATCTGGATTTAAAGAAATTATTAGCACCTGTGATAAATGAAGTGTACTGGCTTTGCTTTCAAGTTCAGCAAGTCTTGCTGTCGCAGCAGACAGCTGTTTTTTCAATACTTCTGTCTCTTCGGATAAGGATTTCAGCAATTGCTCCCTCCTTTCACCTTCCTTTGTTTTCTCTTCCAGCTGTTCAAGCAATGCAGTAGTGCTGTATCTGGCCTTCAGCTGGTCTCTGAGTCGCTGTATTTCTTTGTCCTTCTCTATGAGGTGAAAAGCATTCTTCTCGCTCTCTGCTTCAAGTAGTCGAATTTTCTAGATATAAACCAAGAAGAATCTTAAAACAAAGCCAGGTCAAACAACCAGCTAAACAAGATACTTCAACAAGCATTTATGAAGCATTTCTTATATATCAAGTCAGTATTATGCTAGATACCAGGGCCACAAAAGAAGAGGAAGCCAAGGTTCTATGTTCAGATAGCTCACAGAGAAGTAAGCCAATACTTTAACACAATGTGGTAAATGCTGTAGTTAAGACACATAAAAAATAAATGACACAGATAGAGAGAGAAACCACCTCTATCAAGGGTGGTGAGAAAAAGCTAAAGATTAAAATGGCAGTGTTACATTTTAATCTGTGTTTGCCGGTACACATTTGGGACACTGTGTTCAATTCTGGGTGCACAATTCAGGAGGAATACGGACAAACTACAAAGTGTTCAGGATGATGAGAAATCAGAAAAGGTGAAGAATATGAGGTTGGCCTGCAGAAAAGTTGAGCAGAAGCAAGATTTCCTCAAATATCTGATAAATTGCCAATTTGGATAAAAAGTAGACTTGTTCTGTGTAACTCTAATGGGCATAATTAGAATAAATGAATAGAAGTTACGGGAAGCTTAGTTTCAACTGATTATAAAAGAACAAAGTACCCAGTGCTTGTCAAAAGTGAAATGAACTAGAAAGCTATCTCTCTGAAGCAATAAGATTCCTTTCCAGATTGCAAAATATCCTTCATGTCTATAAATTGGTGATGGTTCATCTCTCAATGCTTGAACAAGTATTTACCTCAATTTGCACTGTTGAAAACAAATCAGTTTTACAATATGCCTATATAGAGAATTTAAAGAAATCAAGTGATATGCTCTTTGATCATTTATTTCCTAAATATAAATAAAAGCACTTTTGCAAAATCAATTCAAAACAAATTTGTGATGAAATCTTTAAATCCCTCCAGTTCTAGTAAGTTCCTAACTTCCTTCCCATCTATGCCATAACAAATTATAAATTAGGGAATCTAAAATATAGTTGAACAGAATGCAAAATGCCAACACATGTAATAATTTTACCTCAAAAAGCCTGAAAACAAAGATTACTTGGAAAAAAGCCAATATACATGGTAAAATGGGTTTTAAACATTCACAAGGAAATCTGATCACTATTAACACTCTGAAATGGATTTGATTTTTTTACATTTGGTGAACTAATAGAAAAACCAGATTATATACTTTCTGGTAAGTATTTTCTCTTCTCCTACAGTAAAAAAGGATATAAGAATGGCACAGTATCCTTAAAGTACACATCAATGAATAATATAGTATTCCAGAACAGCATGGACACGGAACGCTTCTAAGTTAGGCTGTCGATTAAACAAACAGTGAAAATAGTAAACCAGCATGTTTTATAATATTAAATATAGCATGACAAAAATTAAGCAAGAATATTCATGTAATTAAGTTAAATTACCAAAAAGTTATAGGAGAAATGATGGATTAGGTTCTCATTTTGTTTTAAATAACTGAAAACCCTAACCCTAACCCTAACCCTAACCTAACCCCAACACACTACTGTGTTGAAGGTGCATATTCATCAAGATGTGTTTATTTCTAAAACAAGCTTAGTAACCTTAAAACACATACTTGATTATATTTAAAAAGTGAGAGAAGTTAGTCATGACTAAAGTATGTCTAAGAATTTGCAAAGTCAAAGTAGGAATTTAAGATTCTGAACCCAAGGTCAACTTTCCAAAACTGATGAACTGGGTGCAACAGGAATAGTAGCAAGAATAAGAAGGTAGCATCAGGAAATCATGATACACATCATCTTCTAAGAAAGCTACCACAATTTAAAGGATTATAAGACCACTTACCTCCAAAAGTCTTTGTCTCTCTTTATCAGTCAGCTTTCCTTTTCCGCCCATGATTTCATCCACCGATGTTTTTAAGGCTGCAATTTCTCCCTTAAATTTCTCTAATGCAGTTTCAGATTTGGAGTTACTAGGCTTTGATACCCACTTACTTTTAATTAAATCTTTGGTACTTCTGGTAGACATCTCTGAAAAATGGACTCGAAAAATAAAAATCAACTGTATAAGTCTCAGTTTAAAAATTTAAATCTCAGGTGTTGAAACAGGTCTAATAACTACCTGCTCTAAACTATCCAAACCAATGGGATACAGAGAAAGACTGAGGAAGGCTTCTGAGGTGTTATAACAATTTTTTTAAAAATCTCAGTAGTAGATAAATGGGAGTTCTCACTTCGTAAAAATATGACAACTTGTACTCTTATGTTTTGTGCAGTGTTCTGCATGTGTGTTATACTTCAGTAGAAAAGTTTTATTTAAAAAACAATGGAGGGAGGCCGGGCGCAGTGGCTCACGCCTGTAATCCTAGCACTCTGGGAGGCCAAGGCGGGCGGATTGTTTGAGCTCAGGAGTTCGAAATCAGCCTGAGCAAGAGCGAGACCCCGTCTCTACTAAAAATAGAAATAAATTAATCGGACAACTAAAAATATATAGAAAAAAATTAGCCGGGTATGGTGGCGCATGCCTGTAGTCCCAGCTACTCGGGAGGCTGAGGCAGGAGGATTGCTTGAGCCCAGGAGTTTGAGGTTGCTGTGAGCTAGGCGGACGCCACGGCACTCTAGCCTGGGCAACACAGTGAGACTCTGTCTCAAAAAAAAAAAAAAACAAAACAATGGAGGGGTCTCCAACCATTGAAAGAAGCCTAAAAGAAGTAGGTCATAATCAAGGACACATTTTACCCAAGAATTAAAACTGGTGGTAAATAATATAATTCTGAGTATATAGGCATTGAAATGTCAGTACTCAGCATAGTGGTATGCCTTCTGTTTTAGAAGATATGCCTAGTTCAGATCATTTTAATAGTCATTTGAGAGAACACAGTGGGAAAAAATAAGGGAAATTCAAGATGAGACATTAATAGCAAAAGAGGCACAATATTCAGGGGATTCAGGATTGAAAGAAATTAAGAATACGGCACTAAAAGGAGCAGCTTGGTATCTGTTAACAGTACTAGATGACAGTTTGGAAGTAAGTATATAATATCAACTTTAGGAGGAAAATATATAGTGAAATATACTATGCATATAAATAGTATATAAGTAGCTCTTAATTAGGGAAGTTAAAAAAACATTATTCCACCTCATGCATCCTGAGATAAAATAATGGCGGTGTGATTACAGAATATAGAGGAGTATGAGGCCATGAATGCATTCAAAAATTACTACAGAGCCTACTATTTACAAAGCACCCTAATAGATGCTGCGTATAAACTGATTCAAAAAAAAAAGACATGTTCCCTGACGTCATGGAGCTTTCAGTGTAGTAAGGAAACAAACACAGATTCATGAATTCTCAAACTGTAATAAATATTATACAGGAAATGAACAGAGTACAGTGATAAACGATACCAGTAAAAATAGGAGAGATTGACTTAGATAGAGTGGTGGGGAAATGACTTTTAAGGTCATCCCATGTGAAATCAGAACATCTAAAAATACTAGAATTAGTGTAGACTGAGTAGAATAAACCATTTATCAAAAGGCTAATCCTGGGCCAGGCGCCATGGCTCACGCCTGTAATCCTAGTACCCAGGGAGGCCCAGGCAGAAGGATCACTTGAGGTCAGGAGTTTGAGACCAGCCTGAGCAAGAGCGAGACCCCATCTCTGCTAAATATAGAAAGAAATTAGCTGGACCACTAAAAATATACAGAAAAAATTAGCAGGGCATGGTGGCGCATGCCTGTAGTCCCAGCTACTCGGGAAGTTGAGGCAGGAGGATCGCTTGAGCCCAGGAGTTTGAGGTTGCTGTGAGCTAGGCTGACACCACAGCACTCTACTCAGTGCAACAGAGTGAGACTCTGTCTAAAAAAAAAAAAAATCAAAAGGCTAATCCTGGATTTCTGCCATTATAAGGTGAAAGGCTAAGGTAGCTGGTCAATCAACTGAGGCAAATGCAAGGAAGGATGTGGCGTCTCAGTAACCTGCTGCCACAGGAAGTTCTTTCCTATGTGCTTCTGTTGATAACACATTGTTGACTTGATACCCTGAGTTGATACCACAGAAAATTACTTTTCTACTAAGTCACTGAGACATAGACTGATGGAAATATAGATCAGCCGAACTTGGAAGAACCCTCAGAAATTTGCTTCCTAACCTTTGTACTGAAACTCCTGCAGTGAATGACTACTGCTTCTAGCCTCTAGCCTATACTGCTCTGATCTTCCCACCTACTCCAACCAACCCTGTATTTTCCATTCCAGTCATCCACACGGTTCCACTATTTAAACCTTACCTGACCCGGTCACATCTTCTTCAAGATGCCTTCCCTCTGTGAACTCTAGTAAATGATTCAGCTCCCCACCCCCATCCCAGGCACAATCTGGTACCCAATTATACCCACACCTAACCTTTTATTTTTTTCAATCGTTCAACAATTCTTTTAGGAGTCACACTTTGAAAACTTTTTGCGATCCACAGAGCCTAATAACAGCAAGTGCTCAGAAATTATCGGTTGATTGTTTGAAGTGACCTAAGTCATGCTGGACAAGAGGTGACCAAACAAGCATTTCCATCCAATAAACTGCACAAGGCATCTCATGGGCCATGTTTTCTACAAGGGGGCGGGGGGCACATGTTTAAAAATCCTCACATAAGATCTCACTTGGGGAGACAGACAAGAAAACAAAAACTGCAAAAAGAGGCACTAGTTTTCTCACCTCTAGAATAAAGATGTTTGTAAAACAGACATGAAAGTGCCTGCTAATGGAAAAAAGCTGTACTAACGAAAGACCTTAGCCAAGTCACTTGGCCTCTCTGTGCCTATCTGTAAGGAGATGATAATACCCACCTCGGAGTCCAAAGGAGGGATCAAAAAGATGATGGTCGTGAGGCGCCCAGACCGGTACCAGGAACGAAGTGAGAGCCAGGGAAAGGGGACATCTATCGGGGCGGGCAGAGATTGAATTCAGCGGATGCAATCTGCCCACCGACCCCGCCGCCCTCTCAGTCAGGCCGGCCCCGGGGCTGTGGGCCCTGGCAGCCCTTCACCACCTCCGCGGTCGCCTCCCTGAGGCCAGCCAGCAGCAGAGGCGGGCAAAATCCCTCGCTCGCTTCTGACGCGTCACACACTGAGACGCGGACGCCGTTTCCGGGAGTTTGAATCCAGCGGCTGCAGGGCGGAGCACGTCACTGCCGGCGGGGGCGTGGTCTGCCGGAAGAGGGCCTGTGCTCGCGGCTCCCCGATTGGCTGCCGCCTCTGAGGGGCGGGGCCTGGAACCTGAGAGCGGGCAGAGGCGGGGCCGCGGCGGAGGGGCGAGGAGAGGGCCGCGGGGCGGGGCAGAAGACGGGAACGCCTCCTCCCGTTCCACCACCCAATTCTGGGGCTCGGGTTTGTTTGCGGGCTCGGACCTCAAGCTAGGTGTGTCTTAGTAAGGGGCTGGTTTTGTGTTTATCAGTTTTGGGGATGAAGCAAATTACTATTCTTAATGGGATAAACCCAGTTAATACTCATTCTGTATGCTTGAGCTTAACTCACCCCTCTGTCAGTCTCTCCCTGTATAAAATGGCCCCCCCCCCGCCCTTTGAGAAATGGATTTTACAAGGGGCACAGCCTCCCTGTTTTCCCCTCAGTCTGAGCCTTAATTCTGCCAAAAATCAGGGTGGAGCAACGGGGTGAGTAATCGGAGAGCTGATGGGTACGCCGAACTTGAATGCTGACACTGAACGCTAGAGGAGGCAGGCTTCAACTGCTCTCCGGCCTGATTACCTACCTGTGTATGGGTCAGGTCTAGGTCTTGATTAGCTGCCTTGAGAACTTTATTGCTAAAAGAAAAAGTACGGGAAGTGCTTGGCAGGGCCTATCTTCTTCTCTTAGACCAAGCATGAAGTCACCAGGGATTTAAAACAGTAGATACACACAATAGCAAAACATGCTAGGAAGGCAATGTTGTGCAAAGGTGAAACTCTTAAGACTTTCTGAGTTTAATTCCTGACTGCCTCTCACTAGATGTGTGTCCTTGAACAAGTTTATTTAACCTCTCTGAGCTTCGGTGTCCTGATCTGTAAAATGATGCAAATAATAATATCTACCTCATAGTGTAGTTGTAAGCATTAAATGAGGGAATCCGAGTAAAGTGCTTAGCGTTGAGTAAATTCTCAATTGATGTTAGTCATTATTAAACAAAAAGCAACAAAATTAACTCACATGTTACTGAATAGAATGTATGGGAAACTATGTAGGGAATTTTAAAGAATCAAAAAAACAAAACCAAAGACAAAAACAAGACAAAAATGAAGAAGATGATGTTTCGTACCTACTTCCAGGGAACTCACATTTCTGGTGGGAAAGTAAACAAACTTTGTTTTCTTCATATATGTTGTGTTAAAGTATCACATCAGATCAGATTAGGGTGGGAGAGGGAAAAAGAGAAATCATGGTGTGAACATTATTCATTGCCCAGAGTTGAGATGAAAGGCAAAATTTATTTCCACAGAAATTTCAAAGATTCTTAGAGAGAGAAAAAAATCTCCCTGTTCACCTTTGAACCAAGTTGGGAGCAGAGAATGGGGGAGAGGGAGGGAGGAGGAACTCTGTGGAGAGGGTTGGCACCTGGCAGACAGGCAGCTGTGGACCAGGCGCCCATGCCTGCTGGGCCAGACACTCCAATTCCACACCTGCTCTCCAGGACCTTCCTTTCTGGCGGAACCTCCCCCTGTGAGTGGGAACCTCAAGGAAGAGGAGCAGAAAGGAGACTCATTGGTCTGGAGGGCTTGTTTAATTTTGTAATTGCCATCGTTAGGTATGAAAACCAATGTTTGCTCCTTACAGATAGGTGCTGCTGGTCATGAAGTTGTGAAGACCTGGTAGTTTCCACAAGGTCTTACAAGTACTTTGATGTGGACAGTTGATTTGGGGATAGGCTAGGATGAAGATTCAAAACTCATCTTTATTTATGTAAAGAGGGAAATGGAACAGCCAAGCAGGCTAGATATTTATCTCAGCAGGTGAGCTCATTTTCTTCCCAGTAAGAAAGTGTGCTTGGGAAACCAAAACAGTATCAAAAAGCTGCTGAATGGGTTTAGAGTTTTTAAATGGAAATAGGTAGACTGTTGTAGACAAAGGCACCTATCACCTTTGAAGATTACATCTTCCAAAGGGATACTAATGAATGCACAGGAACTCACCAACACACAGACCTGCACTGTCCAATAGAACTTTCTGCAATAATGGAAAGGTTCCTCTTGCTCTATCCAATATGGCAGCACCAGCCATATACGGCTATTGAGTACTTGAAATGTGGCTACTATGACTGAGAAACTGAATATTTAATTTAATTTAACTTAATTTAAAAACTGATAGTTGACTCAGTTATTGGAAAACTTTTAAGTATGTTTGGAACAACTTGGATATATAAACTATTTCTTCAATTATAAATTTTATGAAATCTAAATATAGTTCAAGTATTTCTGCTGAAAATTTTGTGTCCAAATTGAAATGTGTGATATACGCAGTAGATTTCAGAAACTTAGCATGAAAAAAGAATGTAAAATATTATATTACACTAATACTTGTTTGTATTATTATCATACATGTTGAAATGATAATATTTTGGATATTTGGGTAAAATAAAATATATTAAAATTGATCTCACCTAATGTATTTTACTTTTTTAATATGACTACTAGAAAATTCAAAATGATAAATGTAGCTTCTGTTACAATTTCTATTGCACAGTGCTGGTATGCACACAAGAACTGTTCTTTAAATGCAGAACAAGAAGGAATGAGTAAACTCTTGCCTCCTTCCAATCCAATTTCCCCTCAGCCGGGAATTTTGTTTTTAAATAATACAGATGCAATCATGATGTCACACATTCCCTAACACAAACACAAAACATTTTATTGCCATTGTTACAATTTCTATTGCACAGTGCTGGTATGCACACAAGAACTGTTCTTTAAATGCAGAACAAGAAGGAATGAGTAAACTCTTGCCTCCTTCCAATCCAATTTCCCCTCAGCCGGGAATTTTTTTTTTAAATAATACAGATGCAATCATGATGTCACACATTCCCTAACACAAACACAAAACATTTTATTGCCATTGTTATTAGAATAAAGAACAGCATTCCCAAATCTGTTCTCTCAGGCCTAGTAGAGACCAATCCCACTGACCTGGCCAGCCTGGTCTCAAACCAGCCACACTTGACACCTTTCATTCCTTGGTCAGCCAGGCTCCCTCCTGCCTTAAAGCCTTTTCAGAGGCCCTGTCTGGAATGTTCCCACTGTTAAAGCTCCTTTCCTACTTTCCAGATCTCAGCTCAGTTTTCACTGCCTCAGGGATTTCCCCTTTGCCTTGTACTTCTCAACCACCATATCCTCAGCGCCTAGGAGAACCACAGTGACTGAACAATTTAGGTTGAGAATGAATTGACCAAAGTCTACTCTGACCTAAACTATTGTGGAGAAACAAATTCTTTACTCTCTTCCTTCTGTTACTGATATTGTCTGATAGACACCAAAAGCATCCTTTTAGAGCCCAGCACCTTTTCAGGGTAGACCCCTGCTCTTTCCTAGGTTAAAGTTCATCTTCAGCCAGGAAGGGCTGCATTTTAACTCGGCAAATCAGGAGGAGACACCCTCATCTCCTAGCTGAGATCACTGCAGCTTTAGTAGCAGGCAACACATTTGAAAACCATTTCAGAAGCAGGTGTTTCTTGGGGAGACTTTCTCTGGCTGGCTAATCTTATATAGGAGAATTCTTATCAGCCAGTGAGTGATACTTCCTGAGGTTGCTCTTGATTTAGGGTGCATCCTACTTGGAGGGCAGCTCCCTAAGTACTGACTGCTCTGCCTGTTTTAGCTCCTTTTAAAATTTAAGTCTGAGTGCTTATTAAGACATTTTATTTGTATCCAGGGTATTAGTATGCAATCCAAACACTCCACTCCCCTGCTGGAAAATGCATCTCCAATAGGTTCCTGTTGCCAGAGAGGCATGTATAGGAGTTAAGAGCATGGGCTCTGGAGGAAGACCGATTACATTCAGATCCTAGCTTCACTTATTGTGAGAACTTAAGCAAACTGGGCCTCAGCTTTTCCATCTGTAAAATGGGGATCGTAAAATAGTACTTAGTTCATAGTGTAGTGTGGTGGAAGGATTAAATGAGACTAAAATGTTTTAAGATAGCGCTTGGCATGTAGTGAGCAATCAGTAGATATTACTGAGCAAATAAGGCTCTCTGAGATGGCATCTGCCTGCCTGCCTAGGCTCATGGCTTGAATGCTTCACCTCATACGTGATGTTCCACCAACATCAAAAAGTTCCAAAAGCTCACAATGTATATTTGTTTAACTCTATTTCAGATCATACAGTCCGACACACACACACACACACACACACACACACATCAATCCAACCATTAAGATTCAGTCTAGCTGTCACCTGTCACCTCCTCCAGGGAGACTACCATGCTTGCCTTCCCCTGCCCTATCATACACCGGTCTCCTCTGTTTATCTCTTCTTATCATTGCACTCACTACGTTATGCTATAATGATCTGTGAGCTTCTTGTAGAGAAGAAATCTGTTATTCATCTTTGTAGCTAGCATCGTGCCTGGCACCGGGTAGACTTCAATAAGTGTTTGCTGAATAAAATGCATGTGTGCATGAATGAATGAAGACTCTTACAGAAGAACGACTGGGAGCCATTTCTCTATCAGCCACTTTGATGAGGTATTACAGTTTCTCCAAATGTGAGCAAAAGGCTTCAAATTATTATACTTTGTCCTGCTCTATTTTTTCTAGATTTATTTTAGAAATTGTATTACTACTTTCTTGGAAAAGGTCAGACCATTCCTATCTTACATTTAGCTCCTCCAATTGCCTTGA